ACCTTCTTCTTTCAACTGGTACAGTGGCCTCCTTTCTGCAGATACAAGCTGTGCTAAATATTCAACAGGAGCGAGAACTAGAGAAAGTCAACGCCTTTTACCTCCAGAAGGAAGCTGAGGTATGTCATTCATCAGAAATGAGTCGAAAAACTATTTGCTTATTGAGAACAGCTTAAAATCCGGCTGAAGACTTTACTGGACAAGAAGAAGGTTCTTCAATCCCGCAGTCAAAATACTTCAAGAAGATCTGCCAAATTTACCACTTTGGAAGAAGGCTTCCAGCAGTTTGGCAATGATTTGAATAAGCTTCAACAATTCGTTGAGATCAATGGCATGGCATTTTCTAAGATCTTGAAAAAATGGGACAAAACTTCCAAATCAAAAACGAAGGAGCTCTATCTTTCAAGAGCTGTTGAAGTACAACCATTCTTCGATGCAACTGCTATCAGCGAATTATCTGATCAAGCCACTACAAGCTTACAAGAGCTTGGAGCTTGGTCCGAAGGCGATAATGTCAACTTTGCAAGGAGTCAAGAACATATTGTTAGCAGTCAACATTTATTAGGCACTGATGAAGGTGATGCCGATACCTTATTATTGGATGCTGTCATTTCTGGAAATCTCGACTCATTAAAAGATCTTCTTCAACGTATGAATTCCGCAGCAGGCCCCAACGGTACTACGGATCTGGCACTGATGGAAAGAATCACTCGAACATTCCTTGCAGCAATCAATGAAGGCCCCCAGCAATCATTGCAACTGCTTTTGGATACTGGCTTGGTTGATGTACAGTCTGAAGATGATATAAATGAGCGCAATTGCCTTCATCAAGCTACGATTTACGGAAACTGTTTTGTGTTGACCGTTGGACTGTCCAAGGGAGTGACGATTAGCCGAACTGACGTATATGGGCGGGTACCATTGCATTATGCGTGTATGCATGGCCGACTTGATATGATGGAGGAGCTGCTGAATGGTATGTTGGTCCCTGAAATGTCTCGTTTTCAAATGCTGATGACCTTACTACTACAGCGGATCATTCTACCATTGATCTAATAGATCACGACAATTTCACGCCTCTTATACATGCAATTATCCATGGCCATATAGAGTGTGCTCAGAGGTTACTTGCGCGATCTGCCAGAATTGACCCGGTATCCGAGGCAGATCATGTGCCTCTAAACCTGGCTTGCGAAAATGGCTCCATCGCAATCGTTGAACTTCTGCTTAAACACGGCGCCAAAATTCTTCCAGATGCTGAAGGTCTATACCCCCAGCATCTTGTTGCACGATCTGGTCAGACACCGCAATTACTTCTTTTATTGAAGAGCTATGGTGCGGATCTCAATCAAATCGACAAACTTTACTCATGGACACCACTCTTTCACGCGGCTAGTGAAGGAAACGTACCATGTATGCAAACTTTACTGGATGTTGGAGTCGAGACTCATGTTCGTGACGAAAAAGATCTTTCCGCCATGTATTATGCGGCATGGGAAGGATATCTCGAATGTATGAGGCTCTTGTCCTTGATTCCGCAGCCACCTACCGGTGGGAAGGCCATCGCAGTCCCAATTATTGGATCCACAATGGGAAGCAGTACCCCTATGCCAATGAGCATTGATGCTGATGGTATCCCTGACTTGGAATTGCCACCTCCTATTATTCCATTACGACGATACGGTCACAATTTCCTCGACACGAAAACCTTCATACAGATTAGCTTTGCGGAAGAGAATGGAGAGCAACCGATGATATTTTTCCATGGCAGCAAATATCCTGCAGCACGTCTCACTATTTCTTCCAAACTTTCAGACTTGATACCCAAAAATATTTTACTCCCATTCCAGGAAGATACCCGACTTGTTTCATTTCAAATTGATAATTTAGATTCTTTCGCCATCGATTTCGATGTTTTCCCCACATACGGTGCCAAAGTCATTGCAAAGACAGTCGCACTACCTAGCACATTTCGAGCATTAGAAAGCAGTTCCGGCCGTTGTTGCTTGCCACTATTTGATCCACGCTTAAGGGCTATTGGACAAATTACTTTCAATTTCCAAGTAATCAAACCATTTCAAGGAAAGCCACTGGAAATCACCGATTTCGAAACGTACTGGAAAGCTACGAGCCAGTTCGATTCCAGGCCAAGTGCTTTCATCACCGGATCTAGTTTATCTGGAGACTATATACAACTCTTCGTTCAACATACTTGTGATGGAATACCAGTTCTTTGGCCACGCTGGAACATTACCTATAATGATATCGAATTTCCAGTCTGCCGCCTGACCTATGCGCAATTTTTAAGTGCAGGATCCGCCCAAAGGAAATCAACTAGGGATTTACCTGCTTTACCTGGAATGCCTCTAGCGGACATTACCAAAATCCATGATATACTTGCAGCATCGACTGTATCACTGGAAGATGCGCTTTCTCTACTCCCAAAAGGCATGCATGCTAATCTACAAATCTTATATCCAACCTTGGAAGAAGAGAAAGTCATGCAGCTTAGCCCGACGGTAAATATCAATGCATTTGGTGATGCCATTCTCAGAGTGGTTTTTGACCACGCAAGAACTCTCCGAGAACAATCCCCAGATGCAATGAGATCGATTGTTTTTAGCTCATACAACCATACTATCTGCACGACTCTAAATTGGAAACAACCTAATTATCCAGTTTTCTTATGCAACGATCTGGGTCGCGAAGGGGAGCCAGGTCAACAACTAGGAGTGGAAGTGAGTGGAAGGAGAACTACTTCCATCAAGGAATCGGTTAGAGTTGCAAAGAACAATAATTTCATGGGCTTGATTTGCTGTTCCAGACTTTTGGTACGTTTTTTCTCCTGGAGAAATCCGTCTCATCCACATAGCCCCATATCGTCTTCCTTTGCTTTCACTTACATGATGAATGATTAATTAACGCAAAATTAGGATATGGTACCAGCATTGATCGAAGCTATAAAATCACAAGGACTTGTTTTGGTGATTGATAAATCCGCAGAACCGATCGATGAAAAGAGATTGTTTAATGATCCGTTTCCACGTTTGCCGGATGGGGTTGATGGGGTCCTGAAAGCAAACGGCGTGTTAAGATTTAATGAAAGCATTGATATGTAGATGGCTGGGTATCGTAACTTAGATGATGGGATTGCTGGGGATTATGAGCGGGAGTAAGTTAGTTTTGATGGGAAGAATTGAATTGCAAAAATCGAAAGAAAAAAAAACTAGAATATTGAGTCGTAGTACTTCGTGGCAGCACTCGATTTCGTAAATGCTTGTAAATATATAGAAGAATAGTTATGGCTACAAATTCTAGCTACACGCGATGTCTGTGGACAATCATTCTTTCATTCTCCTACAATCCACAAGCCTAACTATATTTATTATCTTTCACTCATTCATCTTCTCATGCAGACTTCTCTTCTCGCCTAAATACCCCCTGTTAACCCTCTATTCATCTAGACCTAAATTATACTGTTCCAGCCATGTCCCCTCTCCTTCCAACCTCGTCTCGCTATAACACTCTCAGCCGAGAATCCCCGAGAAAGACACCCAAATTCGTACACTGAGCAAGTAACTTGCTGTTCGCTTCCAAAAACCAGGGGTTACCCGAACTTCTCCTTTCCTGCTCGCTAGCAACCCAAGCAACTCAGCTTTGTAGTAAAAGGCGGTGATGCTATTAGATACGGAAATGTGGTATGGGATGTTTGTAACTTCATCTTGCGCTTTTCTTTGATCCACTGGAGTTTTGGCCCTGAGCTTGTAATTCACATGTTCGTGAGCTCGCCGTTTCTTAGGAGTGGGATGGTAAAGAGATATTGGGTGGAATGGATTGATGGACAATAGAAGGCATTCAATTCTTGATACTAAGATCGGCAATCTTTTGAGTATTCGCTTGGTCTTTTGAGGAGATTGTTGTCGCTACCTAGGTATACAGCTTGACATCTCAACCCAATTTCGGGTGGGCACGAGGAGGCTAACAGAATCAAAATTTGAAGAGAAAAGAGGATGGAAGATTAAGTATTGAGAACAAAATCGGAGATTTGCAACACTCTTCAAGCTCCCTTGTATCCATATCTCAAACTCCCCAGCTCTTCTTCGGGGTTTACACTCCCCATTACGGTTTTCGCTAAGAGTACCACGGCGTAAATCCCCAGGGGTAACCATTCGAACCCAGTCCACCAAATATTGGTTTCTGCTTCGGACATTCTGAATTTAGATTGGTGTTTAGACTTGATAATTGTCCCAAGAATTCCTAGTATGAGACTGAGGACGAGATTGAGAATCGGAAGGTAGGTTTGGAGTGGCCCATCGTCTACGCTATTTGCTCCCAGCACTGCTATTTTTGATCGAGGGGAATTTTTAGAAGGCTGGTTGATGTTATCGAGGAGAGAAATCGATGTTTTCTCGGGAGGTAAAGAGTAAATGAGGAAAGCGGTAGATAGGAGCGAGGTAATGGAGAGGATGCTGAGGAGAGAGGTAGTTGGAGTGAAGAGGGTGAGGAGGTAGGGGATGATGCTTATGAGGGGGAGACAGAGAAGGAATCGCGCGTAGATGGTATTGTATTTTGTATGGAGGGTTGCAAGATGTTGGATTAGGTTGTCTTGTTCTAGAGAGAGAGGGTTAGTTTTAATATATTCAGAGACGAATCGCGGGGTCAAGCAAACCTTCTTCATCAAGAGCTTCGGGTAACGAATCATCGGAGTCGTTATCTGTGGGATATCGAAACGTCTTGCGTAGACGAGAAGTAGTTTGCTCCATTTTTGCAATAGGTTTCAATGCAAAATTGTTGTAGAAAATCTTGATCGAATATCAAATAAATTGTCGAGATAAAAGATGAAGCTGGAGCTGGAGCCTTGCACATGCATAGCTATCAGCCTCGCATTTGCGCCACACTAAACTTTTTAGCGGGTCATTTCGAATCGCACGATTAATTCAAAGCTCCCCTCCTTTTGCGAGCAATTGTTATTAACGTCAATACCATACACCATACACAAAATGTTACCACGATTACTACGAAGCTCGAGGGTCTTGCCTAGGTTGAGAGTAAGCAACATAAATAATGCGAGGAATCTTGTCCAGAGGAGAACCCTAGTTGCAGCGCCAAAAGTTGGAGATGGTCCATTGATGGAGAGGAGAGGGGATCGGGAATTACCAGGTACCTTTGCACGAACAGAGCAACGACAAGAAGAATACTGACAGAAAACTTTAGACATTCCTGAAAATGGCATGAAATGGGTCCGATCTATTCCCATATTCCTCGTCGTTCTAATCTCCAGTACCCTCGCCATTTTCAACTACCAAAAGTCCTCGTCCTCCGTTGTATCATCCACTCTCTACGCCCTCCGCACATCACCTAAAGCGCGCGAGTTCCTCGGCGATGAGATATATTTTGCGCATAAGATGCCGTGGATTTGGGGAGAAATGAATCAATTGCATGGTAGAATTGACATTCAGTTTGAGGTTAAGGGAACGAAGAGAAGTGGAACAATGAAATTTACGAGTCATAGAGCCACAAGACAGGGCATGTTTGAGACGACAGAGTGGAGCTTAGAGGGTGGGGAGGGGGAGGAGAAGGTTAAGATTGATCTTTTGGATGGTGCGGATCCGTTTAAGGGAATTGAGGATGTGGAGGAGAGGTCAGCGGAACCAGGTAGAGGAAGTTATGCGCCCACTTTGTCAGGATAGAGATTGGGGTGTAGTTTGAGTGAAATTGAGAGATGGAGGGAGTGTTGAGAGAGTATATGGATCTCATAAGTTGAGAGAAAAGAACCTTGGTTGGCTCCAGTTAGTTGTGGAGATGGCGATGATAGACTAATAGTCATGCGCCGAGCACAAGTGTAAGCACGTTTGGATGTGTCAAGACGATGAGGATAGACTTATCAGTTGCAGGGAAAAGGGCATTGGGTTGGCGTTATAGGTTCAGGTCTGAAACGCCTGTATATGCCATGTATTCATACAAATATTACAATGTAAAAACATTCAACTCATGCCGCAGTAGCAGCTACTTTCGCTGGTTCCTTAGCTTCTTCCAACAAAGCGGGTATCGATGCTACCTTTGGCCATGGCTTCTTGATGGCATCTTGAATCTTCACCACACATCCATCTGGGCCTGCAATACATCCATTCAAGAGGACCAAACCCTTCTCGGCATCCACCTTCAACACCTTAACGTTTTGGATTGTAACCTGATGATTTCCCATTCGCCCCGCCATCCTCTTTCCTGGATGAACTCTCGAACCACTTCCTTGACTTGCACCTGCACTACCCATCGTCCTGTGATTCTTAGAGTTACCGTGACTAGCCGGTTGACCACTCCATCCCCATTTCTTCATTCCTCCTGCAAATCCCATTCCCCTACTATTCGCCCTCGCATCCACAAACTGTCCCTCTATGAACCATTCTGCTCCAATGCTCCTTCCAACATCTAGTAATCCACTCTCATTCTTCACACGAAACTCGGCCATATGTCTCTTAGGCGCAACCTGACTCTTTTCATAATGTCCCAATTCGGGCCTCGTAACATTGCTAGGGTGTTTCCAGCCAGCACCAACTTGTACCGCATAATAGCCGTTCTTTTCCCGGGTTTTATGAGCAACGACTTGCACGCGATCGAGTTGCACAACGGTGCAGGGCGTGCGGACGCCGGTTTCAGGGTCGTAGAGGGCGGTCATGCCTTTTTTGATACCGAGGGCACCAGTGCGTAATGGGAGAGTAAAGTCTTTGCGTGCGAGAGCAGCGGTTGAGGAGGCGGAGAGGATGGGGAGTCCAGCAGTTTGCTGGTTAAAGCGTTCGGGGTGGGAGCGAGGAGGGGCGGTTGTCCAACCATATTTTACACCACGTTTGGTTATGAGAGGGAGGAGAGATTCGGGGAGGAGAAAGGAGGGCGGAATTTGCGCCCAGCTAGTGGGGAGTTTGGGTGCCATGTTGTTTGGATTGGGGTGGAAGCTTATTTGGAGATTTGGTTATGGATGGGGAGGGGGAGAAAATCTTTATACGGAGACCGAAACGTGTCGGGAGCGCGGTCAATATCAGAATTCAAACACCGATAACTTCAATCTTGACATTAATTACCTAGTTCCTAGTTTAATAGCACAACTTTATGGAAAGATTTACAATATAACAAAATGGTGTATTATTACACCTCTAACACTGTTTCGCCATCGGCTTACATCTATGCTGGAAAAGATAAATTCGAAAGTAAGAAATGAATTTTATTGACTGGACCTCAAAAAAAAAACACATGTTGACGCAACCCACAGATGAAGATCTCATCAAGCATGGATTAGAAGAAGATGTATGGTTTCACGTAGACAAGTTGTCGAGTGCGCATATTTATCTTCGAATGAATGAGGGAGACTCGTGGGAGTCTATTCCGGAGGAATTATTGATGGATTGTGCTCAACTGACCAAAGCAAATTCTATTGAAGGTAGGTAGTACTGAGAATTTGAGAAGGGAAAAGAAGAATGTTACGAGTACATGTGAGTTGATGGTTTTGGGTTAGGAAATAAGAAGGATAATATTACTATTATCTACACACCATGGTCGAATTTGAAGAAAGATGGAAGTATGGCGGTGGGACAAGTTAGTTTCAAGAATCAGAAGACTGTGAGTACTTCATTCGGTTCTTTTTTAAATTCATATTTCAATGTATGATGTGATGTTGAGATTTGCGGCATTAGGTTAAAAGAATTTTGGTTCCCGCCAGGGAGAACCCAATTGTCAATCGGTTGAACAAGACCAAGGTTGAAAAGTTCCCAGATTTGGCAATGGAGAAGGAAGAAAAAATGAAGGCTGCGAGAAAGAAGGATCAAGCTGCTTTATTGGAACGGGTACGTAGTGTGCATTCTGACATTGGAACATACTAATCTGGGGATAGAGAAAACAAGAAGCGAGACAGGCCCAGGAGTATAAGGATAAGAAGTGGCAAAAGGATCATGCATATGATGATTTATTCGTTCAGGATGATGATGAAGAAGCGAATAATCAAGATAGAGGTGAAGATTTCTTAGATGATTTCATGTAACTTGCTGTATTGGATATCATTGGGCTTCTGAAACGATGCGATAAAAGAGATACTTTTGATCTCCTAGAAACACAAACCATGAAAAATGATATTCGCATCTTCGGTTATCGAAAGCACTTCTTATAACCCCATTTTCTGGCCCCTGATATCTGTGTCCGTGGAGATTTTTCCAGTCCCGTTGTCTTCAGCTAGACTCTCCTTCCACTTTCTGCTTTTACCACGTACCGATCCTTCTACCAAGACGCGCACTCTCGCCCAGCCAGACCACTATCGTAATATCCTTCACTGACCAATATTGCTACCCATCTGATTCAAACTTGTGCCCTTAACCTTATGATCGTTTGGATTTGCCGCAGCCTCATATATGATATTCGTGGGCGCCTTCCCCAATTGCATCCAATCGCCCTTGAAGCCCATATAACAAATACGACTTACATCCTCTCCATGATTGTCCTCTACAAACAGCGTCAAATTTTGTATTTTCCCAAACAAGGCCCTCTTAACACCAATATCCTGAATCTCAGATGTTTGGCTTAGTTCGAATTCCTGCGTGGGCCGCAGCTCTGACGCGGTGCTAAAATCAATATCGTCGCGATTGATGAATACCTTAAGGGTTCTAGGAGCGGATTCAGAGTTTGACGTGCGGATAAGAATCGAGTGGAGTTTCACTTGGCCGGTGAACCTATTGTGTTGGGATGTTTTGTTAGCTACCGTCGCGATGGAGAGTAGTATGGAGGGGTAAAATGGCGGGGTAAACAAACGGGATATGCATTAACAGCTGTTCATCAGCATCGCTTTCGAGCTCTGGCTGCTCATTCATTCGTTCATCCCATGTTTTCTTCACGATGGATTTTCCAGAGCCAGGAGTGGCTTCGTTAAGTGTGGTTATGTCGTCAAATTTGATGTGTTGGTAAAGTGAGTATTGAAGTGCGGGGGTGATATCATCAGAATGATCGTGACCTTCGTGGGAATGCCCGCCGTGACCGTGGTCATGCTCATCATGACAGTGACTAGACATATTTATCACGTTTTTTAATGTTTGCTAAACTTTGAAGAATCAAGAAGATTTTGTGTCGGGTGTTGAGTTGGGCCCGTGAAAAAGCGGTTTCCTCTGTTTGCTCGCTGGCGGCAAAATTATTAAAGGAAGATTCACCAATCATTCGGTCCATGTTCCCTAAAATATCTTGTTGATGGGTAGTGACATGTAGTCGGTGAGGGGATTACGATGGCTTTTCGGGTGCTAAAACTGAATTGGAACAATCATATTTGAAGGGTATATACAGATACTTTAAGACAAACTACTTTAATCATCACACAAGTAATACAATCTTTTGAACTGTTTCCAAATCTCATATTGCAGAATCCAAACATCCTTGTACTAGCATTCGAGCCTAGTAAAAGTCACTGAAATAGTCCAAAAGCATACTCCAACTTCTAATTTAAAACCCTGCTGCCCTACGCTTCTTAGGCCTTTTCTTTCCAGGAGTAGTGGGTGCAGCCATTCGGCTACCGAAAGCACCCTTACTTGGTTGTGTCATTGGTAAATCATTAACAGGCTGTGAGCTGTAAGTATTGTAACCAGCCGGTTGACTGCCAAATGGTTGAGCCATAGCTTGAGATGAAGATGCAGCCGCATTCGCACGATCTCGACTCAAAAACCTTTCTGCTCTTCGTTTACGTCGAGCATTTTCTCGTCGACTACGGTAATCATCATCCCCACTCTCTTCCGCAAGTGCAGCTCTCTGAACCTCCTCCCAGGAGTATTTAGCTGGGTCTGCGCCTGGCACAGATGGCCATTGCGATAATAGTGAAGCTCTTGCCGCACCGAATTCTATTTTCGGCTCGATGCTAACAGCATACTGGCGAAGTCGCGAAATTGTAGGATCCTGTACGACTGCAGGGGCGGATATCACTGAGGGAGTGGGCGTGGGCAAGCTGAACTGGGGGTTCTCCATTGCTCGGGAATGAACCTGGGAACTGAAACATGGAGGTGAACTGGCCCTTGAGACTTCGTCGATATCCTTCAATATGTGCGTTGAGGTTTCATCCTCAAAGGCTGGTGGAGGTCTCTGCTCGAATTGTTCATTTCGTAGCGAAATACCAACAGAGCTCAGCCATATTTCCATGGCGATTCTGCGTATCGATCTCGCTTTTTCCAAACGGACTGGCCCAGGAGTCTTGCGAGGGAGGTTCGTTACCCAGACATTGATCAGTTGATCATATATTTGCAGTAAATTAGGACATGTATCATCGGGTGTTTGATCTTCAGAGAAGGTCATTCCGGGACAAGATATCAATTTCGAGATGCGAAATTTGGAAGACGATTCCTCTTCGCCCTCATCAAAGGTGTTCATGAAATCCAGAAACTCAGTCACAGTTTTGGCTGCCTCGTCAAGATCACCTGAAGGAGATGCATTATTCGATAACTCGAGACAAGTTTTCAACGGCATGCTATCCTTTTGCTTGCCATTTTGCAGTTGAATTGATATATCTCGGAATACCGTTTCCATGTCAGTGTTCGAATCACTGGATATTGGCTGGTTGAATATTCGTTGGAACACCGGTTCCATATTGATTCTGAGAAGCAGATCTGTGGTGGCTTTATTTATTTTTGATGAAAACTGGCCATTTTGTGTTGTTAGGGAGCTCATCTGATCGGCCAAAGCATCTTCGTCTTCCTCATCGGGAATAATGAAGTCATCTGTAAGACGGCTAGCTGTCATGCGGGTAGCATTATCCGCAATTTTGTGCATCGGTGCAACCAGGGTTGGCCTTGAAGTCCATTTTCTTTGAGAATCGAGAATCTCAGATGCCCATAGGGAAGATACCAGCTCAAGATTTGGCGTGAGCATCCATGTCTGGTGAAATTTCACTCCCGTTTCCATGAAATCTAGTCCAATTCCCTCAGCTGAGTCTCTTGGGAGAACATAAGAGGCGGAACGTATCGAGATACTCTCGGCCTTGAGTGTCTTTTCCTCGTTTATCCCAGGGGACAGCCTAAAACCTCCCTCGAAAGTCCTCGCGCTTTTCCCATCCATAAAAAAAGTGTAGGAATTCAGACGTGAATTTCCGATAGATGAAACAAATACTGTCAAGTCCGTCCCGTTTTCGGCCTTAGACATTGTCAATTTCATTGTATCGTCGGTTGCAGGCCTGTAGTGGCGATGCGAGAGAATAACCTTGATTCCAGAATCCCTGTTCAAGCCATCCTCGCCAGTCGGTATCACTTTAAGCCAGAAAATCCGAGTCGTAGTCAAAACAAACAAGTGTGAAAGATCAACCGTACTGCGCTTGATGTCCAGTATCCAATCTTTCAGCAGTGTAGTATTAAACGAATAAGAGGGTAGCCGTGTTGGCTTGGATTTCGTGTCAAAAATTGCAAGATGTTTTCTGTTTGCGACTATCATAGTGCTCACGCTACCTGCCCAGAGGACTCGGTGCCAGTCGCCAACGTTTCCAGGTAATTTGTATGTCGGAATAGCAGGATCTTCGCCAAAATCGTCGTAAATATGCCCCTTCTTCCCTGGCACGATTTCAAAAGCCGAGCGTTTCTTTTGTCGACCTTCAATGTCCCAGCTACTCCATTTTCCAGCGCTGTCTACAATTGCAAACTGTCGAGCGTACCACGGGTTGAAACTGACATCCACGTGTTCCTCTGATCCAGACTGCTGGCACGTTAAAGTTGCGACAGGATTAGGATCTAGACAGGATGGAGGATATGTAGCAATGTGCCCAGCGGGGGCTGTGAAAGGTCTGGGGCCATTCCGAAAGACAGGTCTGAAAATTGTTGTCATGGCTGCCTGTCTAACAGCGAACCAGGTACTAAGCTCATTGCCATCGTCGACAGAGGCAATCTGTAAGATTGTCCCACCAGGACCAAACCAATGTCCTTGATCCGTATTGGTAGCACTCATGTAAGATAGTCGAACTCCATTTTGCGACTCCCATCCATGTTTCTCTGGGCGAGGTTTGACTAATTTCAGAATATGACCGGCCTCACCACATGGAATCGCTACTATGAATGCGGTTTTGGAACCAGAGGTATGATTGATATCCGCAGCGCCGCCAATTGCCATCAATGTACTCGTCTTGAATCGATTCAGTGTCGCATCAGAGGTATCTTTGGACAAGTTTGTAGCAAGACTTCCCCCGGGAAATGTTTCGGGTCGCTTCTTTGCGAGCCATCTCTGTTGGGCTCGAGCAACTTTCAAGCCTACTTTTCCGTTTCCTGGTATATCTCGAATCGAGGGAGGAATGCATTGTGTGGATGAAAAGAGTTGCTGAAATCGATGAACTGCGCAAACGAGTGAGTAAGTATTCAATTGAAACAAAGGCCCAAACCTACCTCTGTTAACATCTTGCGAAAACGACCATTGCTCTTCATTAATATCGTAAGAGAATTCACCAAAATGACCATGTACCAGGTCGGTCGCCCTGTGGTCAGTCATTTGGTTTTCGCGGACTTCTGTTTGCACAATAAACCCTTCCAATCATCGTATTTTCGCAAACTTATTGAGAAGCGATCTTAAGAACCAAGAGTGAGGCGTAAAATGATTGAAGGGGTCAGATTTCTATCATAAAAGTGAAAAGCAAAAAAGGCTGGTCAGGTAAAAATTAAATGATAAATTATTCATTTTTTTCGAGACCGCGATTATGTCGGATTGGCTCCACCACAAGTAGTGCGGGACCTTAAAATATTGGTTTCCTTGCCAACCCGCTTATCGGAAATCAACATTTCGTTCCCATTTCTGGTTTTACATTTTTGCATTCCTTATCACCACCATACCTATGAAATAGTACCTTGACACTCGATCGACTCCACGAAGTTTATCAGCCATCAATATATCACTTCAACTCCCAAATCACAGTTCATATATCACATCATCTGAATTATCGCGATACAATGTCGACAATGTTCGAGCCATCGCTGTCTACCAGCATGTCTAGCAGTATGATGCGACCACCTTTGTCTTCAGCCGATGCCCCATCAATGGCAGACACACTTCCAAGTATTAATTTCGGCTTCGATGAATTGCGCGACAGGATGGCAAAGTTTACAGTCAAATTTGATGCCTTTATAGAGCAAGGAAGAAAGCGTGTTTTGGAAGAAAGAAACCAATTCCGCATGAATGTGACTGAATTAATTGGTACGAACGAGAGTCATCTAGCTAATGCGCTGCGCATTCAACTAATACATATTAGAGGATCAACGTATGAAGAAGAGAGACATTGAAGTCTTGTCGTCGAAGAGCAGTACGCATCAACAGACCCTCGCGAAAGAGGCTGCCGAAACGGCCGAAATGCAAGCAGCAATCGCATCACTGAGCGCTCAACGCGATGCCCAACTTGCAACACGTGAAGCTCTGAAGGCTCAAATCGCCGAAACACAAAAGGCTATAAATGGACGACTTGCTGCGCAGAAATCCCATGCTCAATATATCGATAAACAAGCTCGATTTAACGTTCCAGAACTCGATTTTTGGATTTCGAATTTGGGACTTGTGATTGAGGGAGCGGGGCAAAATGATCGCTTGAAGTTCATTTTTACGAATTTTGACGAGAATGATTATGATAGAGAAGCTTGGTTTGAGCTTGATACTTCGAAGAGGGACTACGATATTCCGTATTGCAAGCCAAAATTGGAAAAAGAACAGATTGAAAGGGTGGTGGATAAGTTGAACGAAACTCGTGATTTGCGTGTATTGTTGAAGGGTATGAGAGAATTGTTCGTCGAAGCTGTAAAAAATTGAGGACGGAGAGTATAGAGTTCGGGGAGGTATCACGAAACGTTGATATTTGGGGTGCTCTAATGATAATGACTTTAATTTTGAATACTATTAATTTGTACTGTTTTCGACGTTGCTCAGATTACCTTCTCTCAGATGAGACTACTCCAGCAGTATTTGCGCCGCTTGATTTTAGAACCTATATCATCCCAAAATCTTGCACTAGACTTTCTCATAAATTAAGCTTTCACCCATGAATGAAATTAAAAGTCTGACGTCGACATATCATCCTACGTAATACACAATTAATTACGATTCCCTCCAGCCAAATTCCTTCACCACCGTACCCAAACCCAATTTTCCTTATCAACAAACCCCCGCAATCCACCTCCGCTCAAAAATAAACAACGAACGCGACACCACGAACACAAGCATACATACTCAAAATGGCAGACACATCCCAAAAGCCCGATAAAGCTACTAGTGCGGCACAGGCTCGTCAGGTTATTGATGTTTTCCATGAGATTTCCACGCTACTTGTAGGTTCTTCTTCTGGCACGCGGCGTTTCTTCTTGTGCGAGAGAGGAGGAAAGGGAAAGTAGCAAAATGGGACTGCAAGCAAGTTACAGGATGGGAATGGAAGATATGAGGAAGATTAAAGAAAAGAGGATGGAGAGGGGGAACTTATGCTAACGCGTAATAGAATGCAGAGCTCGATCGCGGAACCCTGAGTATTTGTATAAGTCTTATTGAGAATGGGATTAATCCTGAGGCGCTTGCTGTGAGTCTTTCTCTTATTGGCGGATTCGGGAACTTCTTTTTGTGTGGATTGGGGCCGGGAAGTTGAGGAGGAGTGTATAAGAGAATGGAAGGGTGGTGGATGGAGGGCACACTAAAAGCGACATTCTGTGCGAAATGGTTGAGAACGATACGATAAACAGTATAACAAACCACGAGAAGAAAAGCTAACAAACATCACCAAAAAGACAGTAGTCAGAGAACTCAAAAAAGACGCGGATGAAGTACGAAGACAGATTGCCGAGGGGGGTGTTCGCAATGGTGACTGATTGTGTAGTTACTAGGAATGGGATTGGGGCAGGGAGCTCATACTATGGAATTTCAAAGGGCTCATCTATCGTGCGCGTTTGATATAAGGCGTTTGCGAGGGCATACCGAGGCGTTACGGAGATGCGATGCATGATTCTGGGAGTTTAGTATATAGGCGGGGAGGATTTGCATAGTGGTTTAGGTATGGCATTACTTGATTTCTTGACCAAGATGGTTTTAAGGCCAGACTTGCAGCCACGATCCTCAATGACGAAGGTGAGACGAGAATATCATTGAGGAAACTCCAGTAGATAGTTGTGACGTGATGGAGGGACGGGTGTTTGGGCGCATGGTGAGACCAGTGCAATTACAGGAAGGTGGTGGGTGGGTGTGATCTAGACATCAAAGGCACATGGGCAGCAAGATAAGCTTTGGATATCTCATATATGGCCCTCATTACACCATGAGCAATAGGAACGAGAATGATCGAAGAGCTGATCAATATAAACGATCGAGGAATCACTAATTTCACTACTCCGTATAACTACAAGGTATACATATATCAACCTTCTTCCCTGCCTACCCATGCCCAGAAGAATATCCAGTACGCCTTCCAACCCTCCCTCCAAAATCTTGTCATACAATGCTGTAGCGCTAGAATCAACGCCCAAAAATGCAAGTTTTTTCCATTACCAATCCATGTCAGTGTCAACGGTGTCCAAAAATGGCAAAAGGTTCCTCTTCACCGTCGTCGTCTTCGTCATCATCATTTCCAGATTCCGAGTCACTGGAATCATCTTCATATTCAATATCGTAATCATCTTGTGCATCTGAATTTCGTGTCGCTGGTAACAATCTACCGCTTCGTGGTTCGTCTCTTCCCCAGAAATCTAAATCGTCTTCATCTCCAGAGCCATCACTTTCGCTGCCAGCCGCTGCTTGGTTATTGAATAAGCGTATTCCTCGAGCAGGCGATACTGATCTTCCTAGCCGGGACGGTACGGGATATGGAGAAAATCGACCGGATTCTGCTTGTGATGAAGAGGAGGGTATATGAGAAGAATGCCTGCGGTTCCTAGGAGCACCGGGTATCAAATGTGTAGATGAAGACATTTGTTGTTCCTGGCCTGTTGACATATCGTTCTGTGTATCCCCTGCTCCTGTGGCCGAAGTCTCGACATCCGGGTCACTCAAGATTGACAATTGAGCTGTATTATATGAATCACAAATGGCACATTTCAGTCCCAGCCAGTGGTATTTCACTGCACTTTTAGCATAACAATCGTTGCACGAAACCATCGCCAAAGTGTTTTGAAATTGAGGTGGCATGGGTTGGTTGTCAATGGCTCGATCGAGATTCCGAAATTGTGTCTCCATCCCAACGACACTCTTGCTACATATTGGACACTTGTACGAAGTTTGCATGTGCTCGATGTAACAAGCTGAGTGAATGCTGTGACCACATATCATGAACACAACGGGTTTTGGTGATGTGAACATGTAGTCTCCACAAATAGGACAATCGCAATCAGATACCCTTTCGATGCATTTGTGGTCATCCATAAGTGACATAGACATGCACACGCCGCAGGTCTGATAATATTGTGAGCAGAATGTAAATTGATTGATTGGCAAGGGTAGACTTTACCTTGCAATGAAAGAAATCTTTGCCCAAACCACGACCCTTTCTGCATATTCCACAATCATTGCAATGGTAGATGCTTTTATTGGAGTCATTGTCCCACAACTTACACACCCCACAATAATACCAAGCAGTCCTCTCTCCACATTCAACACAAAATTCCCCGGCCCGCTGAGCACAACCACATATCATACATAGCATATTTTTGGTATCATGCCGGATTAAGATATGGTCTTCGACCTCGTCATGACACAGCCGGCATGTATACCATCGATCGCACGTAGAGCACTGTAGCTTCACATTCCTCTTGTAGTGTTTGCATCCGAGCTTGGGCGTAGAATCTTCTGTATTCTCAGATTCTTCGCTTCCATCGTCAACCTCAGGAGGATCAAGGGGTGCATAAGTCTTCATTAAGTCAGCTGGGGAGAGGTGGAAAGTATGAATTTCAGTTGCTGGTGCTTGGTCCAAAGTACCATTCATCTGCCAGATGAAAGAGCTCAATGAGTTTGGAGTCGCAGGTCTTTCCTGGCTGATCATTTTGTCTGCGGCCGTGGTTGGTACAAAATTCTTCGCATTAAACATTTCATGAGCTTCAGTGTAACTTTGAGTCAAAAGCTGATGCATTAACAATGCTTTTCGTTCTGTAGGAATGTCCATAGCTTGTATATATATGATGCGTTGTCGAAGAGGACCCATGCCATCATCCGCGGGAAGAGCAGTACTTCCTGCATCAAGCCCCATTGATGCCGGAGTGGAATTTTGACTTGAGTCTTGGGATGAACCTTCGATAGAACTCATAGGGAAATTGACGGCGTTGAGAGCGGCACTACTAGATGATCCTTCTGTGATGTTGCCGTGAGCCAGGGATGCTACTCTGGAAGAAGCGCTACCAGACATATCGTTATCAAGTGAACTGATATTCGACTGTGAACGAGAGGCTGCCAACGCATCAGCATCGTCATGGTTGGCATCATGTCGAAGACTCTCAATATCGCCCGACGAGCTTCCTTCATGCGTTGAATTTTGATTCGGAGAACTCTCAGTGATGCCACCAACGCCTACAAACTCCCTCGTATCCGGCAGATTCATAGTTGGCTCCCTTTCCATCGCATCTTCTATGACGGCCTCGTCAATCTCATTATTGCTGCTTCCTGGGACGAGATGTGTGTTTAATGTATCATTCGAGTCGCGGGCATGAACAGGTTCGGATCGTGAAAACCGTCTGGCCTGTCTCAGAACTGGATTAATCAAAAACTCGGAAACAAGAGAGGTCATTTAGTAACATTTGCTCATATGAAACTATTTTGTAATTTTGTTTATATCAAGTTCGGAAAGTTAATAAGTTAATGTCCAAATTTGGATAGAATCAGATTATCGGATTGTCTAGTCTAACATTGGAGGCAAGGCCGATGACGCGCTACTCGGAACCATCCGAAACATGCCCCGTAAGATTTCACATGCGATCGGAGTTTCAGATGTACCGGTATCAATTTATTTTATTGTGAATTGCGCCAGAAATATAAAATAATAAAACCCAAACCGCCTACGCATAAGGATCATTCAAACGATCATGTCACCTACAGCGAAGGATTATATATACGCCTATCGAGGTCTCTACCGAGCTGTGTTACATGCTGTACAATATGCAAAGCCAGCACGATACATGGGAAGAAATATGCTGAGGGACGAGTTTCGCAAGGGAAATCCGAAAACTTTTGATCAAGGACGAATCGACAATACTATCAAATTTTTGAATCTTGCGGCGAAAGAAAATGGTCTTGAGCACAAACTGGTCAAGAATCTATTGAGGGTAAAGTACGAGCGTGGGATTCAATGGAAAGCGTAAATATTCCTCCAATCAATAGATATGGATATCGATGTTGCAATTCTGATCCTCTCGTAGGCAACTCAGGGAAAGACATCCCATGCAGATACATTTGAGGAAAAACAGCATGACACATTACGACAAAACTATTGAAATGCTTAACGAAAGTATGGGACTATGTCTACGTTAAGAGGGCATCACAAGTCCTGGAGAGAAAAGCAATTTATCGACTTCATGACTTCACGCCTATCATCATCCTAAAGTAGTTTCTAGAACGAATCCTTTTGCGGAAGACAGTACGTTTAGCCAAAGTCTAAATCTCAATGCCACTCAACAAGCAGAGGCTGGCGGATGGTTGCCATACACCTTGACACTCGATAACCAAGAGCTATAAATGATATTGGGAGTGTCGACAGTGTAATCAGCGCATGGGTCAGTAGGTCGTATGGTAGACGACGGTCATACCATGACTGCGTAATGTCACCGATGATTGGGGATTGTACTTGGAAATGAAGTCCGCAAGCCATAGTTAAGGATTGTTGGCAAGGGCTTACTTACAGCCTCACAGACTTATGTTATAGCAATAACGTATAACGAATGATATTGATGAGATCATTTCAGATGACTATCATGAATAGCCTGATGGTATCCGAGGTTAAGTGCTCGATGCCGCCCTATTTCAGCCGATAGCTACCGAAGTGCTGTGTTTAACAATATCTATGACTCTAATAATACAGTACGTACTATCTATACAAGTACTACTCCATGCTCTTCTTCATTTTGAGAGTGGCTGGTGTATGTCCCCCTGTCGTCAACGTCTCTGCACGCCCATGAACGCCCAGGTGCTGGTTTTCGTTTCTCGTGTTTCCTTCTCCTTATCGAAAGGTAATGGTATCACTGCGGGGCTTATCCAAGTCCAATGATCCCAATCTAAACAAACTGTCCTTGCTGCAATGCATTCTTGCATTCTTGTTGCCCTTTCCTTTGAATTAAATGATACGTCAAGTCAAGTGGGGGATGATTCTTTGTCCGAAACCAAACGACCATCGTGATAGATTTCCTGATTTGAATTAGTTACCTACCTGGGTAGTATATGAGAAGTGAGTACTCAAATACCTAGTAGCTACTAGGTGATTCTGTTCAAGAGCTCATCGTGCTCATGAAGGGTGCTACCGGTTTCTAGATACTCCGTAGATTGTATTTGTATTGTACGGAGAAGCTGCACAAAGTGGATACCGCTTTTAGCGAATTCCTTCCCAAAACATGAGATTGATAAACTGACACTGACTTCTCGAATGAAGAAATGATTTGCGTCAAATCCAAACCAACTTCCAAGCCTACGTAACTTGAACGAAAGTACTTGAGTATCTATTCCTAAGCCAAATCATTGTGACGCCTCTGGTTGGCTCTAATCCTCCTTTCGCACTACTCGTATCTCGATTCTCCATATATTATATATCTCTCAACCCCGCCTTCTCGCAATAATTCACTTTCCCCAGACTATCCATCTTCTTTCGGCTGCCACATTTTGCAGGTGAATGCTTCCGCTCGATTTTATAATCGACAGAAGACTCATGGACGATCATTGGCATTCGCCCTTATCGCGATCGCGTTGAGGACTCTGGTCGATTGACCACTGTCTTCCAGCGCTCGCTACGAATAATACCTTCCATTATGCCTGTTAAGCCTGGTCAACATGATATGATCAACCAACAACAACTACTACTTCTTCATCAAGAAAGATCGAAGGCACAGAAAAAATGGCTGAAACAATATCGAACAGAAGTTGCTGCGTCTGTCAGCAGCATCTGTTCTACTTTCTGCGCAGTAAGTTTCTCCGTGCTATGTGTTCAATGCAGCCGCTAATCACTTGTAGTTTCCATTGGACTCAGTAAAAACGCGAATGCAGACATACAAATATAACAACTTTACGGATTGTGTCCGACGTACATATCAAACGGAAAAATTACGAGGATTCTTTCGTGGTGTTGCGGCACCTTTAGCTTCAGTAACTCTGGTCCGAACAATATCTTTCTCGGTCTATCAGCGTTCAAAGTACACATACTCAGCTTGGTTCAAGAGAAATTTTGACGTCGATCCATTGGTGCATATCAATACATTTGGAACATATCCTACCCTTTCAACTATTGCTTGTTTTGGAGCTGCTGGCGCCACAGCTGGATCGTTTATAACGCTTGTAGCTTGTGGGTGGATCGACTAAGTTGATTACTATTTTTTTTTACATTTCTAACGATATTTAGGTCCCTTCGAATTGACGAAGCTTAGTGCTCAAGTATCAGTATTGATGGCTACTAAACGGCAAACGAGCCTTTCTGATCCTGTTAGAAATTCTCCTATGCAGAATGCGACTGCAGCAAGCTATAAAGACAAGGGAACATTTAAAACCGCTATGAATATTGTCAAGAATCGTGGGGTGTCAGGCCTTTATTCTGGATTTAACCTTCACCTTCGTGAGACAATTCTCCAATCCAAGATTGCTGGCACAGACTAATCTCGTCGTATACAGTTCGGGATACACTAGGAACTGCTATTTACTTTATGACTTACGAAAGTTGTAAGCAACTCTTGACTACATATACAGGGTCGAAAGGCTCAACGAGTCCCTTTGCTGTCGTTGTCGCTGGCGGGTTCTGCGGCGTAGCGAGCTGGGCATTGATTGTGCGTGAAAGAAACATATCCGTGTGGTGTCAGCCAAGCAACTAACGATGGACAGTACCCAATCGACTCTGCTAAAAGCATATATCAGCGGAATTGCCTGACCTGCTGCAAAGGCGAGACCGTTCAAAAGGCCCCAAAAATTAGATTCTTCGACAAGAAAATGTACCGAGGCTTGGGTGTATCCATGGGCAGATCGTGCGTTGTAAATTCAATTTTTTTCTCCGTATTTGAATGTAAGTGAATTCTATCGACTCGATACCTACATGACTAACAAGGTATAGTCATCAAGAAAAATGTAAATGCAATTCCAGATTGATGGAGTATCTGGAGATGGAGGTACAGTCTTTTGTAAATATCCTCTTTTTGTATGGCAATTTGGCGATGCACAAGCATTAAGGAAATGGAGTTTTCAGGGAGCATATAGGCTAAGGTCAAGTCTGCATGGAATAAGGAGAATTATCCGAACTTTAAGTTTGATATGAAGGCACTCGAAACGAGCAAGGTTTGCTAAATAAATGGATGGCAATAGTAGGAGATTGAATGAAGGTTATGCATTCGCCGAGTCTTAGATTGGTAGTTAATAATGAATATAAGGAATTTGACTTCAAATTGTAGCTAGATGAAAAGACATGCACATTCAAATCACTTACAGTTTCAATTAATTTCCTTAGGTGGAGGTCGATCTTTGTGCAAAGACTTATCTAAGTTCTCTATCCTCTGTAACAACTTCTCCGTTCTTCTTTCCCCTATTTCGCTTTCGCTTGTCGGATGCATGTGCTGTATGCATAGTAACGGGCATTGTGGAAGGGGTCAGAAGATGGAGTGGTGAACCTGTTGATCTTCAACTACGCATTTGTACCTCCGTGGTGTGCGCTTACAAGTTTTAACGACTCTCGACATTGGCAAGAGATGGAATGGACTCGATAGAGAGGCTTTCAGGTGCTCGATGACTTCGATGGATCTTTTATGCTGTGTGTCATTCAACGCGTTTATGGCATTTTCGGGTTCCATTCTGTTGTCCCTCAGGATTATGTCTTAGCTTTTGATGCTTTTGTAAGGCGATGCGTAGATACTTTGTGAGAGAGATAGGAGAGTTCTGGTTAGATATGAAGTGGGAATTGAGATTAGCAATTACTGTCTCCCCGCTACCAATGCATTCTTGAAAATTTGTGGCTGTTTTGTGATTTTGTTGGCTGAATGACTTGTTATATAGTAGGTTTAGATGCTGAATATCGGAAGGGATTACAGACAATGGGAATCTGGATATAGCAAGGTCTGGCGCCAGAAATTGAATTTCACGATAGTGGTATGGACGGATACTTGAAAGACGTCCGCGAATCTGGGCCGCTTTATGCACTTCCTCTGTTTCATGAAATGTTGGAGGGTGCGGAATATAGAATGCTGCTGAGTGGGGAAGTGTGTATACATTGGTGAGAGCTGGGGGGGATAGGGAATGGGATGGATGGGATGGATTTACTGAAGATATGCTGTTGAGTATGCTGAGTTTAAAACTATACAATAGTAGCAAGGGTTTACGCCGCATATTTCCATGGCAGGAACTGTGCATGTCCAGGTACCGAACGTCCGTCAATGCTGCATCATCTTAGCCCATAGAAGGGCTATGAAATTGCGGACGAAGCATTGCCAATTACAAAAGTTGAATCCATTGGAGTTTTGTCCGTCCCGCATGGTTTCTAGCGAGTGACTCTATCTACAATAGACGTTGTGACCGAGTCTCAAAAAGAAACTTCCAATATACGAAGTCTTCCATCAAGTATTCTCCTATACGACAGTGCTCTATCCTACGAAATTGCCTTCATATTCTACAGCAAAAGTAGGTCCCTTTTCGCGGTTGATTTTCCATGAAACACAATTCTTGAAAGCTGGAGAATATTGGATCAAAAAATCATGCCTTCATTTCTCGGTTGGGACTAGTTGTGTTTGTCCCTTCGCGTGCATCGAAAACCTATGATGCGAACGCGCAGCATTCGGTGACGGATCAAAGCAACCCGATCTAGACCTGCCTTTCCCCCAAGGCATTATCTATCCCGCTCACCTAAATCAATGACAGAAGATCCAGTTGAAATAATAAATCTTGTGATTGAAGCTATGTTCCAATTCCTCAAAGACACACCTCAAGCTACCGGATAGTTAATGATTAACATATGTCTACATGGACATTTCTTGCCCTATTCATATTGTATCCTGGTGAGCAACATTATGGGATTGCGTTCATGTTGATATGAATCTTTCAAACATAATGGAGAAACTCCGCGAGTGAAATGGTGATCTTGAGATCTTGCAGGAAGGGTTTATTACTGAGCACGAGTTCCGTGAAACAAAGTTTTGAATGAGAAATTGTGGCAGAGAAAGATATTGAAACTAAAGTAGTAATAAAGGTTTCTGTCGCCGAATGTAGATTTACACAATTTGATCTGAAGAGAGACCCCACCACGGGCTTATTGTTAGCTACAGAGTCCTTCATTTTGAGCCGTTGAACCTCGCCAAATGTTGTTTGAATAAGGCTCCTCACAAGCACATAGCTTTGCCTCGGAGCGGATGATGCTCCAGTTGTAGCTACTGAATCCAGTTCGCTGCTGCCTGATGTAGTAACAAGAGCGGATGACTGTTGCTCCTCTTGTATTGTACCAGAACAATTCTATCTTCCAAAACATAAACGGAATTCTACACAAAAAGAGCATCACCCCGTAAATCTGCACACCAATTGTTTTCTGGATTTTAGCAATGTTCTGAAAGATAATGCATAGCAAGCCTCGAGTCCACACTCGTGAAAAAGCTGAATTTAGAATACACGAGTACTGTTTTGGGTACTTCCCATAAAGTTACATAGAAACTCTTGTAGTTTCTTCCATGTTGAGCAAGAGCTTCAGCGAGATTTTGCAGTCCGACGTGATTTGAAGTAACTCTTATATAGTCAGTCTTCACTTTTGGTAATAAGTATTCAAGGAGAAGAACATTCATTACCGCCGAATGCTGACTGAAATGTCGTGTTGGACTATAAACTTCTCATGTAAAATCTCTGTCATGATAATATCAAGACAATTTCATCAATATGTCGAAATATAGATACATACAAATATACGGCCTCGACGTGGTTCATATATACAGCAGAAGTGAATATTTGATGCAATTGTCGTGTCAAATCAACCTCAATTGCCCCGCGGCAAGATTCTGCGGGACCTGCCATTCGCTTCATACGCGCGCTAAGATTACGATTACCTACTGTACGCTGCCCACCCCGAGGACCATTTGCTCTTTCTCCAAAGTTTGCGACACATAAGACTTTCATTCTTCCATCTCAATCATTTTCATTGAAACAACACGCAAACAACATTTTCCATTTTCTAACACCAGAACACTGGATGTATTGTTAGGACGTATCGTGATTCTCTATTTTCTTATCAGCCTAGCATAAGCTGCTGATTTCACTTTGAGAGAGTTGTTATCGTGCCTTTTTATCAGCGCTATTGCGCACTAATCTCTTTCTTTCAATAGGTCATAAGATTCTTATGGTAAGTCGAGGATAGTACTCGATATGGTGGGTAAAAGAAGAAAAGCCCTCCTGGCAAAAGGAGTCCTCAAAAATCCGAAAGCGGAAGCTGCCCGAGAAGCTTCAAAGGCCAAAAAGGGTCAAAAGAGTCTATCGGCTCGAGCTGGTAAGGAAGACCGCCGTGCTAAAAAACTGGAACGTCGGAAGAAAGAGAAGAAATCATATACTGCACAAGATTGGGCAGAGCCCGCCCCGGATCATTTGATTGCCAAGTTAGATCTTCCCAAGCATAGTTCTAAGTATCAATCGTATTTCGAATTTGCGGAGAACACAGAAAAGAAGAAGAAGTTGGAGTTTCAGGTATTTAGTTTTGCAATGTGTTTTTACCATATTGACTTGCGATCAGGTCACAAATGATCCCAATCCTCCACCAGGATTCGCCTATGTTCCCATTGGAGATCCGACTTTGACGAATGCTTGCAAAGAATTGTCGCGAGAACAGAATGCTATGATCTTCATTGTTTCGGTAAGATTGACCGACAGGCCTATTTGTGTTGAACGCAAGGCTACACCTACTAACACCATATCTTCTACAGCGCTCGAAAGAAGACAACTCGAAAATTTCCGAGCATGTATTTCGAACCGGATATCACTTTCGAGAAGTCATCGTGGACGAAGCACGCAAAGTTGTCGGCGACACCGTTATTTCGAACACGACCCATGGATTGATTGAGCCAATACCAGAATCCCAAGACGAGATAAACAAACAAGCAGACGCTGCAATACGCGATCTTTTTCCAAGAATCCCTAATACTGATCGACAGAGGATTATTGAGCATGCTTTTCAAAAAGGTATCAAATTTCATGGAGAACCTACGGTCGGCCTACAAGCCGACCTTCCCTTGGCCCGTCGAGTTCAGCTCGCTGTTCTTGCTCACATTCGTCATACACACACTAGATATGACAAGCTACTCAAGGAAACAAGTTGGATAAATGCACGAAAGGTAGTTGAGCCTGTGTGCTTAGATGTCCTTGTCAAATGGCGAGGAGACGAGGAAACTGGGCGTGATCAAATGGATGAGATCTTACGAGAAGTTGTCATTATTACTGATTCCGACGATGAAGATGACGACTCTGATGAAGACGATGATTCAGATGAATCCTCAGAAGAGGGAGAGACATCCATCGGCTCTGCTGCTATGGCCCTTCAAGACGGTCCACAGAGGCGGCAACCCTTGGGGGTTGAGCGAGATTCCTACGCGAATGTTGTTGGCCCCTCGGACTCTATCTCTTCTCATACACGATCTAGAGCAAGGCAAAATGAGGGACTAAGAAGACCCCAGCCTCGCTTCAAGCGATACCAAGCTGCATGGGATGAGGCTGTCAATCGAGGTCAAAATAATGCTCTTGAATCTAACGGGCGAAGTATACAAGGATATGAGGCAAGTATGAGACCCACCCAACCTAATGATGCACCACATTACCAAGAGATGTCTCGACGACAAGCACCTATCGCTGCATCACGTCCTCATACTGAGTTGGAGTATCTCTATCGCGACGCAGAACCTCGGCATAGCGTTCCGCCTGAGCAACAAGTAGGTCCAATTTGGAGGAGAAAGGTAGAAGAAAGCTTCATGACTAATATTTATAGATTCGCCATTACTACCAACAAGAGCGGGCACCTTCAAGGACGTTGCTTCGCAGAAATGAGGTAACAGTTAGACCCCTGCATGACCGCTCAACTTTTCAACCTTTACAGTTTGATACTGCCCCACAAGTGAGCAGAGAGCCAAGATCCCAAGGAGTTGTCAGAGCTTCCCCAACTAGGTCTGGATTCCAAGACCTGCTTGCTTTATCCATTGAAACCCAAAATGATAGTATGAATGTTTCACCTCGCTTGAATCGAGGTACTGTTGCTCGCGACTTGGGCCACCATCAAGAGTCGTATCCAAGACACGTGGTTGAAGGGAGTAGATTGACACCTAGGCCCCGAGAAGTCATTCTTATTGATGATGATGATAATGATGATAGCCCGTATTCTAAACGCCGTCGTGTGATTGAAGATGATCATGGGCGATTCAGGCCTTATCCTTCCAGGGTGCAGAATGCCCATACCGCCCCAAATTTCTCTTACGGGGACGCCGACAGGCGTTCCGTTGCGTTACCCAGATACACTGAAGGTTTGTCACAAAACGTGCCATTGGCATCTTCACGACCTATACTTTCAGAACGAGTGCCTGTTTATGATGCGCCTGATTCCAGACCATATGAAATGCATTCCAGTCTATCCAGGCGAGAAGATGAGAGGCTCTCTTACCAGCAACCTGTATCTTACTCGAGGCGAGAGATGGCTGCGCCACGTCCTTATTTGACCAATTCTGATGAGACTTACAATCCTCAGCGAGTGGCTAATGATAGTATGAGAGTCACTAAGCGTGATCAATTTGTACGACGAGAACAAGTTGAACCTGGTCAGAGGTATTATCTTCAAAGACCAGCGTCACCTGATATGCATGATTCCAGAAGAATTTCTCATCCTCAAATTGTGGATGGTCCTGCAGACCAAGCTTTCATTCAACGTTTCTCTCAATCTGGACTTGAATCTCCCCTTTCTCGGCCACAAGATGGTCCTATTTCTTATCAGAGATTTGCTCCAAACGTTCATCGTCAAGGCGAGTCGCTAGATCAAGCAGCTAGGTCACTCACAGTCATGCGTCCTGTTCAATCAAGATCTCCAGTACGATATTTAGATAGGGCAGAGTGAGTGGGCTCGAGTAACAAAGAGTGACATAGGAATTGCTAACTCTCTTTACCTTAGAAGATCTGATGATAGATCTGGTCCACCAGTTTACTACGAGAGGCGTGACCCGTATACTATTGAGCGACATATGCCGAATACCATGCGTGTTTCGTTGCCGCCAGACCCTCATTTCCAGGCATATCCTCGGGTTGTACATCCTGGGCGTCAAGTTATTGTGTTGGATTAGTTTTGAAGTTATTTTCGAGAGATGAGGTGTGTGTTGAAAGGAGGGACAGTCGAGCCTTTGAGGCTCCTGTAGCTTGTTTCCGTAATTAGGATTCACATGTATCTTCATTGGGAGGAACTGGCGCACGATTCATTTATTCATCGGTGAATGATAGGTTTTGTATCTGGATGGAAGGTGTACATGGTGTCATTGTTTTGCGCCGCTGGCTGCGTTGGTTTACCTGCATGAGCGTGGAGCATGGAAATCGCATTAAGGGACAAAAATTATTTGCATTAGAACGGCGTCACAGAGTGGCAGATGGAAAGTTTTTGAACTTGGTGGCAACGCCGAGTTGTTTCAGGAAAGCCTGTGTTAATTGGTATCAGTATTCATGCCCTAAGGGATGAGTACCATCTATAATATGTATATACAACCGCAATTGTATGACTTTCTTCCCAGTCAATCCCCAGTAATTACTGAATCCATATATGCATCTGATGATTTCAAAGAGTGTGAAAGTATGATTCGGGTATCCAACCAATGCTCGCATAACTCCTTTAAATGCCCAACAATAAAATATAACTCCTATGCCAACATTGCAACACGTTGTTCATCTCGCTCACGTTGTCTTGCTTTTGCCCTATCTTTACTCGAAAGTTCTGATCTCGGCACATCAGGTAAGGAATCTTTCAATGGTAATCCCGCCGTAGGAACCTCAGGTAGCGGAACACCTGTAATTTCTGCTTCCAAAGCAGCCAATTCATCCTCTACCTCATCTTCATCCTGGTTTGACATCATCCCTCCCAACATATCGCTCACTTCCTAGAATTCAAGTCAGTAAAGTAGCCACTTATAACACGAAATAGTTCTTGCCTGTTGATAAGCAATTGCATCCGCTGTCTCTCCCATCAACTTTTCCACATGATCCAACCCTCCCATTTCCTTGTGTATCTGGTTCAGCACACTTGTACCTTGTTGTAAACCATATACAACATCCTTTTGTACCAGCGCAAACTCCACACTACTAGTCAATTTCTCCAGTTGCTCGAGTTGCGCATCCGTCTTTGCCAGCAACGATTCTTGATATTTTTTCCGGCGCAGTGCTAGGAGAGCTCGCTTTTTATCTCCTTTCGCCAGCATTTCCTTTGCGATAGCGGTTTCGCGGTCGGTGAGTACGGTTATACGTCGTTGATATTGGTGAAGCTTGTCCCGCTGGTTCTTCATGTCCAGGATAGCTCTGGTGTCAACGAGTCAGTGAATACAGACTTGAAGAGTAACTGAGAAGCTCCTTACTTATCCTGAGCGGAAATCTTATGAGTACTGGGTGTATTCCCCATCGTTGATTTGTTGAAACTACTTGCTCACTGCTAGAGGGATGCATTCCGTGGTATCCTGCTCCAGGACTTGAATGCTTGGAAACGGCGTCATGGCGGTCGGCGCTGATAAGCGATAAGAGTTATTCCGCACGGGATTTGCCGTTTTGGGGAGAAGTTAACATTTTTTTTATTTTCAAACATTCATGCTATTTGAGAATTCGAATAACTTTGGGTGCACTTTACTCGAGGTTGTTTGGAAGGTTCACTATGATTTCTAGAGGCGGAAGGCCAAGTTTGAGTCAAGGACTAGACAAGGAGGTATGGATTGCTCACGGCGCAAACATGAACTCGAATTGCAGCTTGTTTACTAAAAGTTTATGCAGATATATCAAATTGTAAGGAAATTGGCAGATGAACAGGCACAGAGCCAGAAAGGACCAAAGCGTCTCACAATCTCTATTGTCTATGATAGTATCAAAAATTCGAATTCAAGTCTAAAAAGAAGATCAAAAAAATTGCTGGAAGATTCAATTGATAGAGTGCTGTTGGTGTTGAAGGAAGAACAAGATGATAGTGATTCCGTAGATGGGGATTTTGAAGGATTGGAGGAGGCGGCACCACCGCTAAAAGTACATAAGTCGCAAGCTGTTGAAGTGATATACTGACTTGTCTCTCAGGAACATAACATAATGAATAAAAGTATTACCAAGGGTTGGGGAAAACCAGCAACATTACCTACAATGAACTCTTTGAACGGTACGCCTTCTGCGAGTGGGGCTACTACACCTATGGCTCAACTTCAGACCAACCCTCTCGGCAATGGGGAAGTTGAATCACCGATGAAATCAGATCGACAAGCAAATGGGGAACCAAAATCGAAACGTCGAAAAGCAGAACGAGAAGTTAAAAAAGATGCGGATAGGGCACCGCCGACAGACATCTCGTTGGAGAATCTTGGAGGAGTGGATAATGTTATTGAGGAATTGAACGAGCTTGTGGCGATGCCAATGCTATATCCGGAAACGTATATAAGGACGGGGATTCAACCACCCCGAGGAGTTCTACTCCATGGGCCACCCGGTTGTGGTAAAACGATGATCGCAAACGCCTTTGCTGCAGAAATAGGAGTATCATTCATACCAATATCGGCACCATCTTTAGTGGCTGGTATGTCTGGAGAATCAGAAAAGAAAATTAGGGATGTTTTCGACGAGGCAAAACGTATGGCACCATGTCTTGTTTTCATCGATGAGATTGATGTCATCATGGGAAAACGTGAGAGTGCTCAGAGAGAGATGGAAAAACGCATCGTTGCTCAAATGCTCACATCCATGGATGATATGGCATTGGAGAAAACTGGCGGTAAACCTGTCATCATAATTGCTGCCACGAATCGACCCGACAGTCTTGACCCAGCTCTTCGACGAGCGGGTCGTTTCAATAAGGAAATTAATTTGGGGGTTCCAAACGAAGCTGCTCGAGAGAAAATCCTTCGTGCTCTTACCCAGAAGCTCGTCTTGACTGATGACTTTAACTTTCACGCTTTGGCAAAGATGACTCCTGGATTTGTGGGTGCTGATTTGAATGATGTTGTGTCTGTTGCAGGTACAGAAGCGATGAAGCGCATGATGGAAGCTTTGAAACAACGAACTGCCTCTACCATGGAGCTTGATACTCCATTACGAAGTGCTACATCCATGGAGCTTGACACTCCGATACTGAAGGATAGCACCTCCGAAGCTCTTCTTGTTCTGAGGTCTCTCGTCGCAAATGCTGGAGGCTCGGCTCCCGACGGTGATTTTTCTATCAAATATACCGATTTTCTTGCAGCTATACCCAAAGTTCAACCATCGGCTAAACGAGAGGGGTTTGCAACAATTCCAGATACAACATGGGCTCACGTTGGCGCTTTACACGAGGTACGAGAGCAACTCGAAATGGCCATTGTCGAACCAATCAAACGACCAGAATCTTTTGCTCGAGTTGGTATCACAGCTCCAACGGGAGTATTACTTTGGGGACCACCTGGATGTGGTAAAACTCTTCTCGCTAAGGCGGTCGCCAACGAATCTAAGGCCAATTTTATTTCCATCAAAGGTCCTGAACTTCTCAACAAATATGTTGGAGAATCTGAGAGGGCTGTTAGACAAGTTTTTGAGCGCGCTAGATCATCCGTACCATGTATCCTCTTCTTTGATGAATTGGATGCATTGGTTCCTAAACGTGAAGACTCGTTGTCAGAAGCTAGTAGTAAAGTCGTGAATACCCTCCTCACTGAGCTTGATGGTCTTAGCAACAGAGCTGGAATCTACGTTGTAGGTGCCACCAATCGACCTGACATGATCGATCCCGCTATGCTCCGTCCAGGTCGTCTTGGAACATCAGTTTTCGTCGATCTTCCAACTCCTGATGAACGTGTGGAAATCCTTAAGGCTCTCTATAGAAGAGCATTGCCACTTGCCAGCGCACAAGAAATTGAGGCACTAGGCCCAGTAGCGAGAGATGAGAGGTGCAATGGCTACAGTGGAGCTGATTTGGGTAACTTGCATCAAGCTGCTGCGGTGGCAGCGTTGAAGAGAGAGATGAGCATGGTAGCACAGGGACAGGCGACCATGGAAGATGAGTTGAAGATTGGAGGGGCGGATTGGGAGGTTGCGTTGGGTAAGATCAAGGCGAGTGTTAAGGATGCAGGGAAATACAGGAGGTTGAGGGATAGGGGAATGTAGAGCATAGATGCCCCATTCAATATTCAAGTTCAGAGCCACAAATCGTGTATTCTATTGTTTTTAGACCATTGGATATGTTTTTGCATGTAATAACGCTGTGAATTACATTAACTTGTAGCACTTTTTCATTTCACTTTTTAATTCTAGTTTCATTAACGGAATTTGAAATTATCATCTCTTCGTGGCGAATCCAACATCAGATATGAGCGTTTGCTCCCGGTGAGCTCGCACCGTTTCAACAACTCGCATGTGGCCTGTGCCAGTGCCTACTTGGGTCGCATCAACTGAGTTTCTAGAAACACTATAACATTGAAATCATTCTCATCATCTTGCTACACGCTGCATTTTCACCCTATATTCTACGCTTGTATTGTCTACTACTAATACTAGTTTCATAATTTTCAACTCTCCCGTTCAACTGTTTGAAATTCCATTGCTTCTCTCATATGCATGGAAATTCTATTCTTTGACCTTTCTCCACCACGAAACGAGCCCCTCCAATACCGAGTACCAAATTCCCGCCTCCCTAATCTTCCACGCTCTATTGTTCAAGACCTGTCCGACCTTCCAACTGAAAGTTGCGCTAGATTGTCAATCACTACTATCAAATCCTCACGAATAGGATCCTTATCAAATATGTCCACACCCATCACAACCACTACCATCACTACCACCACTACTACCACCACTAGTCCTCCATCTCTTCCCGCAAACTTCACATTCGCTCCCTCGACTTTGTATATTCTCCTTGCGGATATAGGCCATGAATCGCTTTGTAAGTTCTATTCACTTCATCTGATTTCATATCTTATTGTCATTCAAATCCTTTTGATAAACGAACGTTGTTTAGGAAACTTTGACTATGATTCCCCGTTTATTTGTTATATATATATATATATGGAATTGATGCACTCATTTTATTCATCACAAAAACTCAAAAATTGGCAATTTCATCAATTGATATACAAAAACACTTACACATAAACACCACACTCTAGTCCACTGGGGCTACCTCCTCACCTCTGCTCCTCCCCCCGCTACGCGTACCCCTTTTCTCACCCCCGTGACCGGCACCATCTGTACGTATATCTTGACTCTTCTTCCCCGCTCTCCTCTCCTCCTCCCCAACTCACACCAAACCCAGTCCACATAACCAACATGACCGGTCCCTGGCTCTACCAATCCCCCAAATTCCCCCTAGCGCACCTCCTGAAATTCATCCCTTCCCTCCTCTTCATCCTCAAGATATGCTCCATAGATACAGTTCTACACCCCGCGCTCTCAGAACGTCTGGGAATATTAGGTCTCCAAGCACAGCTGAAAAGCATGGAAGCCAATATTTCCCAATCACAAGATTCGCACGCGGGGACGGAAGATGGCCAGAGAGAGGAACGTGAAGAGTACTCGCGAGAGGAGAAAGAAGAAACGGTGTCCTCGGAGTCGGAAATTTCATGTAGAACATGGATTAAATCTACCCTTTGTGTTTTGGACGAAGAAGGATATATTTCGTTTCCCGAAACCTCGCATCGGCTGAGCTCGAAGACGGTGGTGGATAGTATCGAAGCGGAGGCGGTGGCAGGAGCGGGTTGGAATAGGATGAGGGGGACAGTGGGCTGGGACCGGAGTGTATGGGTTGGGGAGTAGAGTGATGGGTGGGACGGATAGGATTCACAAGATGCATGAGATGCATCGGATCTCAGTCACTGCTGAGATGTTGGATAATCTTGAGCGGAATAATATAGGATCTTCCAGCGAAGCATACCGCCGTCATTCTTACAATATAACAGGGGTTTGTACATTTTGTATGTGCAGGTTCTCATTCTCACAATCTCTTGCAAATTTGGAACATCACATAGTAAATCCAAGTACAAATCAAGTTGAATTTACTTCCCACATTGTTTCATTCCATTCAAGGTCTATTTACAAAATACAGTGTGGCCAACATTTAAAGGCCAAGCTTCTCCTATCAGCTAAAGTTTTCAACTCCGTATCATCCATCCATCACTCCATATGTCCATCTAGTCCTGAAAAAATAATCTCCAAACCACCTCGAACCCATCCAATCCCTATCAAGTAAAATACATCCCAATGAAAGTAGTAAAATCATTTTTCCCAAATATGGATTCAGAAGGTCGATCAAATTTGAAAAGCCTCCATCCTTCTTCCCCTTCCAAATTGGAACTAGAGCAATAGTCATGCTCAATATGGTATCTAAAATCAAAAATGAAGCAAGCGCAAACCAAATCCCCCAAGTATGTATTGACATTGAATAGATAAGTTCATTTCAATATGTAAAAAGCCCCGGATGAGACTCGAGTAAGAATTTTAG